CAGCAAAGAGAAGCCCCATTGAAAGCAGCCAAGGAAGACACTCAAGGTCACCTACCTTTGATTCCTTCTTCTTGAGTTTCTGAGGTAGACAGGGTCTCTGAAGAAAGACAATCTGCTTGGTGGATATGTTGCCCTCCCTGCAACACACACAGAGTACAGCATGAGTTTCCTCCTGCCTGGAGACCCCCAGACCCCAGTGCAGGTGCAGACTCCTGGCCTTGGCCAGGCAGGCCGCCCCGAGAAGAGTGAGCTCTGCCAAATCCATTGGTTGAGGAGAGAAATCTAGAAGCCCACCCTACCACTCACTCACCCAGCCTGCCACCTTGGCTTCTAGGGGGCCTGCCTCAGGGGCCCAACAAACAGCCTTGTGGCTGGTGCTGCATGCTCAGCCTCACAGCTGGAGCCTCCCACTTATGGAAGCCTGGCATCTTGGCCAAATGATGGCAAGCTGGCTCCTTCAGAGCAACCCTACAGAACCGAGCAGAACAGCTCTGTCCATTTTCTGTACATCCGTACGGAAGCCTACTGCCTTGTCCCCCGCTGGTCCCCCCAGTGTGATCAGGATTAAGTAGCTCGAGGAGCAGCATAGTGCTTCACCCCATGCACCACCAGGTCCCTTCTCGTTTCGATGGCCCCCAAAACCCAGCCCTATACCATAGAGTTGATTCTGACTCAGAGGGAGCCTAGATCCTATCTCTGAAATTAAGTATTGATGAGAACGTACAGCCTCATTGTTCTCCCTCGGAGAGACTGGTGGATTTGAACAGCAGACCTGATCCACAGCAACACAAACAAATACAAATGAAAGGCCTCTTAGGGCTGGGATGATTGGGACAAGCCCAAGGGTGCAGGGGGAGCAGAGAGAGCCTGGTGCTCTCAGGGATGCCATCAGTCAGGGCCCAGACCCCATCTTCAGATCCCCCCTCTTGCAAGGCTCTGGACCAGCACCCTGACCTCAGACATGCACCTAACTTCCTGACCACAGTGATTTTAATAATAATTTTTAAAAATACCGCTTCATAGAATTTGAACACGAAATAGAATTTTATATTAACAGTGCCCACTAGGTGAGCAGCACACAGGGCATGGAACAGGGGCTGAAGGTTTGGCATGTAAGGGCCCACGCCCTCTCCACCCGGTGGTGAGATGGGACAGACAGACAGTAAAGTAATGGTCCCTGGACCCCAGGGGAAGGACAGGCCCAGGGGAGTGAAGCCCCAGCTCTGTCACTGGCCAGACCAGCCCCCAAGGGCTGAGTGCCTGTGCAGGGTGAGCAGGTACGAGGAGCCATGCTTAGTGCAGTGTGCTCAGCCACGCACCCATCTCCCTTCTCCTTACCTGGTGGTTTTGATGACTGGCGTGGGGAGCACACAGGTGAGCTGCCAGCCATAGGCTGCCAGTGAGTTCAGCAGGGGCACGTAGTCTGTCTGCACCTCAACACCCTGGGGAGAAAGGCCACCATCAGTGCTGCCGCCTCCACGGGAACTTTCCAGTGACCCTAGGGGACATGCTAGTCAGAGACCCACAAAGCAGAGAGGAGGTGAGGATGCCCTGCAGGCCCTGAGGTAGAGAGTTCGGAGCCAAGTGCCAGCATGGGGTCTCCTTCCAGGCCTTGCTCAGTCTGTGCCACTGTTTTAATTCATTCATTCTGTTTCAGTCTCGCTGGGACAAATGGCCTCCGGCGGTCCCGCACAATGATCTCTCCTGGCAGACGCACTCACTGGCATGTGACAGGCCCCGTGGCTCCTGATTTCGAAGCAGGTTGGTGGGGGGACAAATTCCATGCACATACGTCTGGCCAGTGTGCCAGACACATGGGGGTGTGTCTCCCTAGGGTCCTGCACCCCGCTGTTGTGTCTCACATCAGAAACTGGGGGCGGGGTCAGTTACCCCTGCCATGTGAGACTCAGTTCAACTCCTGCCGGTTAACATCACTAAGAGGAGGTCAGAGCCTTGGGGTCATACTCGGGGCCTTCTCCCCACAGCAGGCTTC